ACAAATATTTTTATATCTAAGAATTTTAATGGCCTTTCCTGAATCTTTGTCTACTTGATGTTATCAGGAATGTGCATCTATCTCTCTTTTCCTTTCAAACCATGGCAAGAACAGAAACCTGTCAAAATCCTACTTACCCTTTACATGCCATTAGAACTGCTATACCCATGTTTTCTCCTAATCAGAAGGGAATTGCTTTGTTACCTGCCTGCCTTAATCTGAGCTCTTTGTCCTTTGAAGCTATAGTTTTTAGGTGTATAATTTTCAATAATTAATTGCTGTTTTTCCTTAAAATCTTTTTAAGTGTCCTCAAAGGGACCTTAACTAGTTCCTTTAGTAGAACAGCAAGTTTCACACACTGCTTTTTAAAACTACCTTCATTTTGAAAGCAACTCTGTTCTAGTCCCTGAAAACACAATTTGAAAATCATTTGGATGTACCACAAACACTCTGATATAAAATTACTAAGCAGCTTATTCAATCTGTAGTACTTTGGTTGTCATTTAGCAGCCCTTTACATAAAGAAAACATGCATCCTAAATGATAGGATGTAAAAATATTTTTAACAGTCAAGGTGTTATCTGCATGTCATATAACTGGAAAATAAGAAATTTAAAAGTTTTATCTTTTTCTTTTGCTTTAAAGCAATATGAAAAGTAGAAAGAGTTGAGGAAACAACAAAATCAGAAATAAAATGCATTTAACTTTAACATTAGATATAAAAACAGATGAGACTGTCAGTGCCCTCTATGTATATGAAAACACAATAGTATTTATGTAACAGCCACATGAAAACAAGCTTAGAGAACTCACTTTGAGGCCAGGTGCAGTGGCTTACACCTGTAATCACAGCACTTCGGGGAGCCAAGGCAGGTGGATCACTCACTGAAGTCCAGGAGTTTGAGACCAGCCTGGGTAACATAGCAAAAAACCCTGTCTCTAGAAAAAATAAAATAATTAGTAGGACATGGTGGCATGCACCTGTAGTCCCCAATACTTTAGAGGCTGAGGTGGGAGGATTGCCTGAGCCCAGGAGGTCAAAGCTGCAATGAGTCATAATCACGCCACTGCACTTCAGCCTGGCAACAGAATGATACCCCGCCCCAAAACGCAAACAAAACAGTGTAACAGCTGACTTTGGATGGATAAATTGGATAATAATTAAAATCTTTTATTCATACTAGTAAAAGAAAAACTGTAGACAAAGTTAACAGAGTTTCATTGAGCAAAGAACGATTCCTGAATGAAGAGTTTCAGAGACTCCAGCATTGCCATTGATGGAGAGGATTTACGGACTGAAAACGGAAAGTGTGGCACAGAAACAGCTGGATCGGTTACAGCTCATGTTTGCCTTATTTGAACATGGTTTGAACAACTGGCCGACTGTCAGTGGTTTCAATACGGCCTCTGTGACAGGCTGAGGCTCAGCTTTTTGTTACAAGAGTAAGTTACAGTCTGTTTACACATACAGTTAGGTTACAGTTCTCTATGTAAGGATAAACCTTTAGGCTGAACTTACAAGGAGGGAGCTTTAGGCCAAATTTAATTTAATAATACCTAGGTGAGAAATTATCTGGGATTTACCTCAGAATTGCCAATGCATTACCCATAGATGATCTTTTCATTCCAGAACATTATGTTAAGGTCTTTACCAACTATATTTTCTTCATTTCTCAATATGTATTTTTTTTTTGAGATGAGGTTTGCTTTTGTTGCCCAGACTGGAGTGCAATGGTGCAATAGCAACTCACTGCAACCGCCACCTCCTGGGTTCATGCGATTCTCCTGCCTCAGCCTCCCAAGTAGCTGGGATTATAGGCATCATCACCATGCCCAGCTAATTTTGTATTTTTTTAGTAGAGATGGGGTTTCTCCATGTTGGCCAGGCTAGTCTCGAACTCCCAACCTCAGGTGATCCGCCCTCCTCAGCCTCCCAAAGTGCTGGGATTATAGGTGTGAGCCACCATGCTCAGCCAATATATATCAAAATGGCTCCCAAGACATTGACATCACAAGGATTTCTTTTAAAATATTTCAAATAACTTTTGCAAAAGATTTCTATGTATACTAATAGAATGTTATATGCTTTCATAGGGATTATCAAATTCAAGAAAGAAACTGGTTAATTAAATTAACCTGGTCACATCAAGATTGTTTCTTCTCTTTTAGCTTAACATTTGACATGGCTCAAATATAATGAGCTCTTGTGCCAAAGCTCACGTTTAAGATTAATATATTTCTCATTTGAAACAGCAGTGTGATATAAAGTTTGCTGAAATAATAAAACCAAGTTTCTAAATGAAAACCAAATAATTAAGAAGTAGGGAGAAATGCTTCACAAACAGAAATGTAATAAAGATACATCAATGGCTCACTTCTGGTCTCAGAAATACCATATTCTGACCTTTTCTTGATTCTCTGAAGTTCTTTCAAAATGCATTTTGCATTGACACAATTCAGTTCTCTTTTTAACCCATTAGTGTCATTCCAGCTTTTGTACCTACCATTAGTCTTCTCTGTCTGTCTTTTACAGATTTCTACAATAGCTATAAATAAGCAGGACTTGGAAAACAAAAAAAGATAAAACTGGTCCAGCAATAAGCTTTTGCTTTTCTTTTTCTGGTGCTTATAGAGGATTTAGTTGGTTTTGTCATTTTCTCCCTGTGCTATAGACCATGAAAACAAAACCTTTAAAGCTCAAATGCAGAAACTTGGCTGGAGAAACAAATAAAGAATTGACAACTCTCAGCAATGCAATGTTAATTGGCATCTCAGAGATTCACTTTCCATCAGAAGGGCCATTGGTACTGATTCTTTCCAGAAAAAATAAATTCGTTAAGTACATTAAAAGAGAGAGAGAAAAAAGAGAGGATGCTAAGTGGTCTGATTTGATAGGGAAAAACTCAAATCTTCTTTTCAGTATTAGTTCACAGCCAGATGATTCCTTGGGCTCTTATATATTGAGAGAGAATTCTCCAAGCGTTTCTCACATTTCTGCACATCTTGCAAACAGATGCACTGACAAGTTTTGTACTGGGCAATCTTTTTGAGATAGTTACATAGAGAACAGCCATGGGAGATAGACAACTGTCTTCCTCCAGAGCAGAAGGTAGGTGTGTTTACTGACAAGAATACTGGGATAAAGTTTAAGCAGGTTTCCTTGTGGCTCATTATAAAAGAATGGGGTTTCCCTGGTTTGGGGTATCTCAGCGGAGACAGAAACATATTGCCTGCACAGTATTCATCTATATCTGCTTGTATTGCCCTGTGGGATCTGGATATCATGAGGAACCAGTGGGAACATGAAACTTGTGCTGCTTAATCTGACCTGAGTAGCAAAGCCTTTTTTGTCTCTGACCCAGGAGTCTCATATTTTCTATACTTTTCTATAAATCTGTAGCAGGCTACCTTGTCAACTTGCAAGCAGGTTAGAATCTGAGACCCTTCACACTTTTTGAATACCATACTCCAGCCATTTATAGACATCTGACGCACCAACTTTCCTCAAGGATCATAGATTTCTAAAATTTGCTCATGAGGAAGAGTTGACCCAAATGTTTGGAGACACGATGTTGATTTATTCTTTAGTTGTTTATAGTGTTTAATCCACATATTATAAGAGACTAAAAAGACATTTTTAATGGTGAGACTAGTTTTAATGAAGCAGTTGCAACATATTTATGGTTAATATATTTTGTGCAGTGGTTCTGTCTTTCCTGGTTTGTGCTTAAGTCCTGGCTCCTAGCAAAAGAGACTTTAAGTGGCATAAAAATATATTCAGAAAGCCCCATTGGGAAGAGTGTCTGAGTAGGGTTTGTCACAGTTGTTAATAAATTCTTCCTGTTTATAAATAGACCAAGGAAAGTCAAAGAGGTGACTGACCATTAGCCTGACACTCGGCTGGCACAGGCATACAAATGCACCGATTCTGGATGGCTGCATTAGTTGTATGACAGGCACCAGTTGTTTATTTCTGTCATTTCTTCTGATGGTTATGCACCTATACTACCTTTTGTCTCTGCTATCACAGTGCATTTTTTCTTATTCTTTGTAGGACAGTCAGAGTTAGGTACACATAATTTCAGGACCTCTTGCCACAACATTCCATCTAAACTCACAGCATGCTGAAACAAGGAGGTATCAGAAAACTGGCAAAGAATCTCCGGTAGAATGAACAACCAATGACAATTAGAAGGGATTCTATTCAAGGGTAATTAGTTAATAGTATTATGAAACTGAGGTTATATATAGTAGATTCAAACTGATTAAAAGCTGCTAAATCATACCATTATTAGAATGAATAGGTGGATATTTAGATAAACATAAGAATACGATACTAGTGGAACGAAATAAAAGATTCCTTTTCTGTTCCAAATGGATGAATTATTTTCTATTATTCATTTACTCCAAGAATATAATGATCTTAAACACAGAAATAACAAAGGGCGCAAGCAACATGCTAGGCGAAGATAAATGTTATTCACAACATTCTTTCATAAAGTTATGATTAGCTCTATTTGCAAATTAAGGTTGGTACCTCACATAGATCTACTAATTGCAAGGAGCTAACAAGAGGCAGACCGCAGATTTAAAGCCAGGTTTCTCTGATGCCAAGGCCTCATTATTTTAACCAGTTGTAAGGATTTAAAGAGATGGTATGAAAAGTACTTAGCACAGTGTCAGACATACACTAAATAACTGAATGCTATTACTGTTGATCATTTTAACAATTTAGAAAAATGTCAGCTGTATTTAAGAGTCAGATTTTGCTTTAGCACAAGAAGTCCTGTTAATCAATACGTTGATATTTCAAATACTTACACACCCATTCAGACACTGGAATGTCATGGTCCAGGTATTAACCAGTGACTAAAATCCTTAGAGAGCTTATAGTTCAGCTGGAGACAAGCAGGAATACAAACAATTTCAAGGCCATGTTTTCAGAGACATTTTGGTGAGGTTAATACAATTACTGTAGAAGGACAAAAAAACACACCTACCTGGTTTAGGGAAGTTTAGTATCAAGGCAGTTTCCTCGGTGGTTTTATTTTAGTTAGACACACCTACTTGAGAAGAGTTGGTTGGTTCCTAGGTACAGCAGCTTGTTCTGCAGAAGTCTGTTTGCTGGGGCAGATCACCGTCTCTAGGACTTCTGAACAGCAACACCTAGAAAAACCAACAACATCAGTGCATGTTGGAGTCCTGTTATCTGACACTCTCAAAGTTAGAATTAACTTCTGTAGCTGACTTAGGTTGTTCCTTAAACTAGTCTTCAGCAATGAACCACATATGGTATTTTCTTCCCTGGGTTTGCCAACATTCAAGAATAAAAGAACAAACAACTATACTATTACTCCTAAATTGTACATCCAAAATGAACTTTAAAAAATACCTGTAAGAAATATATTATTTGTACAACTAAATTTGAAAAGAAGTAATTTATGACTTCAAAAACTTGCTAAATCTTTTAGGACTAAGTAAACACAAGATATTTATTATGCTCTAAAGGCACATCTCAAACTCCCTTGAGCTTCTCTGCCTGTAATACCTGCATTCAGTCTGGAGCCAACTTAAAGGTAGAACAAATCCCCCCGAGACCAATGAATTTGAAGAGAATGCTAATTATCTTGGGGAAGGAAAGGTTCTAAAGCCACATTTTATCCTCTCTGCTTTCCTCCAATCTCTCCTAAAAGAGGGATTTGAAAATGAGCACTGCCCTATCCTTTGTCTACTTTTTGAACTGGAACAACTGCAAGAATTTGCTAAGGGTTGAAATAGCAAGAAACAGAGAAAGGATAAGCAGACCGTTAAGCCCTTTATTGGTACAAAAGTCACTCTGGGAAGCCCCATCCTTTATCCGTGAAGTGTACCATAGCAAGTATAGGAAATAAACACATAAATGTAAGACTGAATCTGAGCCACTGTGGAAATGCAACACCAGGCCCATCTTTCCACAAACAAGTACCCAATTCTGTAAACACGGCACAATCCTGGAGCTGGGGCTGACATTTACTTTGCTTTTGAGGATACCCGAAACTTCTACAAACAAAGAGAGAAACAAAGAGCATAGGCCCACAAATGTTCACATTGTTAACAGGAAATTACAGCCTCAGAAATGATTTTCTTATAACTCTAGGATATCAACAAATGAAGGTTAGTAGAAGCAGCAAAACTGAATACCTAGATGACGTTACGGAAGCAACCAACAGCAAATTAAGAGGCTAAAAGCCATTTCATACATCTTATTGTTTTCCTCTTAAAAAAAGAAACAAAATCAACATGTATTCCATCTGTGGTGTACAGGCAGCAAACACCATAAATGTCTAATCATTTGGCCTGATATTCTGGACTGAAGCCCTGGCTCCTGTGAGCACAGGAGAAGCTGCAGCCGACTCTGTACATTTAGACAGAGGGGATGAATTGTGCCCAAATCAGCGTGCACCCATCACTGCCAATGATTTATGTCCCTGAATGTTTAACTCTTCAAAACAGGTTGACTAGATGAATATTTGTGTTTACCTTGGAGGTTTACACCACAGGATTCCTGAAGGGAAATGGGACAGTGGAAATGAAAACTGATTAATTCTGATGTGAGGGGCATCCTATGCAATGGAAATTAAATCTTGGAGCCTTGGGGACTGCTAGTTTCTTTAGCATTTGAATAAAATTGGAGGTTGCAGAGGCTTTTGTGAGAAGTACAGTCTGGCTTCTATAGGAAAAAAGGTTAAATGTTTTATTTGTCCTCAACAGTTATTCTTTTAATGATCTTAGATTTTTCACAGGAATTTTCTTGAAAAGCTTTCACTTCCTTGATAAGTATGGAAATGTGCTCTTTTAAAAAGTAAAATGTTCTCTGCATGCTTGTCTATATAAGAGAAACACACCTTTTCAGGGAAGAACAAGGTAAGCTGTCTTTGCATGAAGGAAGGGACCTACCATTGTGGAAAAAGCATTATGTGTCCTAGGCACATACTGATGTAATAGAATATAGCAGCCTGACAAATTAAAGCGACCGTGCTATTAGAACAAGTCTGCCGGTTATTATATTTACTATTACGATCATTGGGCCTGAACATAGTGGTAGTACTAGCATTTGGGCACATGGTGTCTCAGGCCTTATAGAACAGGCACATTATATAAATTATTTCTTATCCTCACAATAACCCTAATATATGTTGTTATTCTCATTTGACAGATGGGATACAGAGTTTAAGCAAGAGTTTTATATCTTTTTAAAAAGTTCAACTTGAGGAATTAAGCTTCACAGACAGAAAACAAAGCCAGGAAGAAGTGGAGTTGCAAAAATTGCAATAAGGCTGTCTCCCAAGATGGTGTAGCAGTGATACATCTGGAAATTTTAAGCCTATAAACTAAGGAATGCAAGTATTGAAATTGTATTTTTTACAAAACTGAGTTAATTTTTATTAAAATATGGAGAAATACTATTTTTCTGGTACCAAATCCCTGTCCATTGGCCAGAGTTTCATCTAAGAGCTGGGGAAGAGGTATCTACACTGAAAAGGACTAACAGGGAGGGGAGTGGTCTGGGCATTGATGGATAATTCATGCAGGTTGGCATTAATAAGCATACCCATTCTCTTTGGCCTTCAGCCATTAGGAACACAGGTAAATGATTTAACCTACTGGTCTGTGAGCCAGGGTCTGTTGGCTGTTTGTGTGAAGAGAGTGAAGAGAGAACATCCTTCTTCTGTTCTCATGTTGCAGAGGCTCTGTGATCTGCTTCCATGGCTCCCCATAGACATTTTTCTAGGTTCCACTGTGAGAATGATTCCAGACTCTCTACTTAACTGGGAGTTGTGCTAACAAGTCATGATTTAAGGCAAACTAGTAGCTTAATGAGTACACAGCTGGCCTGGTCCTATGCTCTGTGAACCCTACGAAGAGATGTATCAAGCAAGACGAGTGCAAGACACCATCTCATGTTAAGAATGGCATGCTATCATCTGCTCCCCTCCACTCCCGGCCCCCCAGAGAAACATCTGCTCTGGTGAGAGATTTTAACCAGAAATTAATATAGAATTAAATGAGAGGAAATTGAACACATGTCTCCTCATACTGGCTCATTCTAGAAAATGAAGAAAGGGCATAAAGAGGCATTGAGGCTAAACTACTTTGTGGAAAAATGGAACATTTGAGGTCAAAGTCAAGACGACATACTGCACCTACTACCCCTTAGCTGTTTTGCCTATGAAAAGTTTCTAAACCTTTTGATACTTCAGTGTACTCACTTGCAAAGGGGCATCATAACACCTTCATTACAAGAAAATTTAAAAGTATGGGTTAAGCTTGTATTGAGCTTTCATATGTTAGGTACTCTTTGAAAAGCTTTATGCATAATAACTCATTTAATTCTTATCCCAACCACCTTAATAGATGTTATTAGTCCTGCATCACAGTAACCACAGTAGAGAGATATTAAATAAATTGTTCAAGGTCACATGACTAAAAAGTGGCAGAGCTCAAATTCTTCCCCTGGAAATTTTGTACTACAGTTCACATTTTTAATCACTCTACTCCATTACCAAGACTTCACCACTAACTATCAGTATAACTCACTGTCAAAATCAGGATCCTTCTGAATAAAGATGATACTATAACACTGAGACAAGATGTACAGAGATTGCTTCCCAGGGAAACCAAAACATAAGAGCACCCTAATGATAACATGAACTTCAATACTTCACATAGGCTCTGATTTCCAAAACAGAAAAGAAATAACCTAACATGACCAAGGAAATAATCTGCAGTTGTATTTGTTTCACTGTATCCTACAGATGGTGAGGTTTTCATCCAGAAAGTAATAGAAACAAAATTAAGTCACATCTTGGTATATACTTATGGCCAACTACTATATCACATTTTTCTTCCACTTTCAACCTGCAATCACTGTCTCCCACCCTGTTCTCTTTTACCAAAGACCTTCTGTGGAGAACATCTTTCTCAACATCTTTGTAAATGACACCACTAGTCTACCCGTAAGAGATCAATCCAGGTCTTCACTGAAAGAAACCGGTGAGGCCTCACTGCCAAAGTGTTTCCCATTGAAGATTCCCCTTTATTTCTCCCCTAAAGAATTATTCATCATCCAACTGGGAAGGCCCTCCCTCTCAGTAATCAGAGTTTCGTTGCAGATGGGACAAATAAGGCTGCACAGTGAAAGGCTGAATGGTGCTTTTTGGTTCTCATTGTTGTATTGCTATTTTCCAGGCATAGCTCACATTTATTTAAGCTACATTGTTACACTGATGACTCACAATCTGTCTAGCATTCAAAATAAATCAACCAACATCAATCAATGCATATGTATTGAACACCTGTTTCAAGTGTACACAGAGTCTGACCTTCCTTTTAACACAGCAAATTATTCTCCATTGTACTGATGAAGGGTTTGCTTTTCCTTCCAAGGTCCACTATTCTGTCCTTGCCCTCATTGAGCCCTCAGTTAGGTTGCCTTGACTTCCTGGCCAGATCAACAAGGGCATTTCAATTTTGATCCAGGCTTTCTGGATGTCAGCCACTCACCCATATCTTTAAGCAAATAAAACAATGTAATGAAACTTTTTCTTACTGACTCTCTACCTCACTCGGTAATCATTCACAATCCTAAGTCCAGAAATAGAGGGCCTAGGGCAATGTTTTCAACATAGTAGGTGCATCTGTTAAATATTGCTCCCAAATTATCTTAAAACATAGTTGCTTGAAGTAATATGTATTGTATCACACAATTTCTATGGGTCAAAAATCTGTGAGCTGCTTAGTTGGTAGGTCTGTCTCAGAATTACTCATGAAGTTGCTGTCAAGATGTCTGCTAGGGCTTCAGAATTCTGGATGCGCAACAGGCACTGAAGAGTCCACTTGCAAGATGGCTCATGTGGCTGTTAGCTGAAGGCTTCAGTTCCCCTTATTTGGACTTCTTTATAGGGTTGCTTAAGTGTCCTCAGGACATGGAAGTTCACTTCCCCTCAAAAAAGTGATCTAATAGAGAATACCAGAAGGAAGACACAGTGCTATTTTATGGCCTTGCCACATACCGTAACTTCCACTGTATTCTATTCACTAGACGAAATCACTGAGTTCATTCAGCCCACATTCAAGGGAGAGAGGAACTAGGCTATACCTTTTGTAATGAAGAAAGTCAAAGGATT